CACCTCTCCTAGCTCCCAACGGCAAAACGAAGAGTTGGTCCGTTTTACGGAAAGACTCAGAACGTTTAAGATATGCAGACAAGCAGTTCATGACATCCAAACGTTGCCATCTAACCTCCTCCTGAGAAGAGGGGTTGGGGTAAAATGATGGAAGAACCACTTCTTGAGAGAGGTGAAACTGAGAAACTACCTTAGGAAGAAACTCTGGTTTTGGTTTCAGACAAACCCTATCTCGGTAGAATCGTAAACAAGAAGAAGATGTAGAAAATGCCTTAATTTCTGAAATCCTTCTTGCGGAAGTAAAAGTTTTATACGTCAGGAGAGTAGCATCCAAACTTTCAAGAGGAACAAACAGATCCTCAGTGAGATAATTGAGCACCATAGGAAGGTCCCAAGGAGGGGTAGTAGATCTGGAAGGAGGCCTCAACCTGAAGGCCGCTTTGAAGAACCTGGAAATCAAAGGATCCGAAGCCCATGAGATGTTGCACAAAGCTGAAAGTGCCGAAGACTGAACCTTCAAGGTGCTGAGGCTAAGGCCCTTGTCCAGGCCCTCTTGCAGAAACTCCAAACTTCAGTATTGCTAGGATGCCGAAAGTCCACATTATGAGACGATGCCCAAGTTTGGAACACATCCCAGATCCTATGCTAGCATGAAGAAGTAGAAGCCTTTCTGGAGAGCAGAAGGGTAATGATCACCGCCTCCGCGAGACCTAGTAATTGGAGTCTTTCTTTCTCAAGACCCATACCCCCATTGTGAGGCATTCCGGATGAGGATGGAATACAGGGCCTTGCGATAGCAGATCCTCCATCACTGGAAGAGGCCAAGGTTGTTCCTGGCTCATCATGGCCAATAGGGGGAACCACGGCCTCCGAGGCCAAATTGGAATTACGGCAATGACTTTCTTGCCTTCCAACCAAACCTTCCGCAGGAACCTGGGTATCATGGGTAGGGGAGGGAAAACATACCCCAGATCGAACGACCAGGGCAGAGAGAGAGCATCCTGGCCCAGTGCCTGACAGTCCGGATGGAGAGAGAAGTAATTCTCCACCTGGTGATTCTGAGATGATGCCATCAGGTCGATCTGGGGCATGCCCCACCGATGAGCAATTTCTGCAAAGATCGCCGGGTGAAGTTGCCATTCTCCCGGAAGAATTTCCTTTCTGCTGAGGAAGTCTGCCGTTAGTTCTCCGAACCTGGGAGATAAATCGCCTTCAGGCCTTGAAGATAGGTCATGGCTATAGCCATTAAGTGAGCCAGCTCTTCCAGGAGCAACCTGCTCCTCGTGCCACCTTGGTTGTTCACATATGAGGCCACCGCTCGGTTGTCTGTTTTGATTAGAACCCAAGAATTCCGTAGCCTCGGCAGGAATCTCAAAATGGCCTTGTAAACCGCTCTCAGTTCTCTTAAGTTTGAGTGTAGGCGACTCTCTTCTCGGGTCCAGTTCCCTTGAGTCCATACAGGACTGAAGTGGGCACCCCATCCAAAAGAACTGGCATCTGTTGTAATAACCTTCCAAGGGGGGTCTTCCAACGGGAAGCCTGTTGTCAAATTCCTCTCGCTCTTCCACCAGTTTAAGCTTTTCCTTACGGGAAGGGGAAGAGATATCATCTGTTCCCAATCCGCTTCCACTCTGTTGAACTGGAGAAGGAAGCAGTTCTGGGCCGGACGGAACTTCCACTGGGCCCACTTCACCAAGCCTATTGTTGAAGTCAAGGAACCCAGGAGACTCATGACTTCTCTTGCAGGTGCAGTTTCGAGAACTTGCAGCTTCCCTACTTTGTCTCTGATCTTTGTGACCCTTTCTGGAGACAGGAACACATGTGCAGACACGGTATTCACTACCGTACCCAGGAAAACGATAGTTTGTGCAGGAACGAGGGAGCTCTTACCCACGTTCAGGAGCCAACCATGGACTTGAAGAATGGACATTGCCACCGACGTATGTTGAGCTACAATTCCTTGAGATGGACCCAAGATTGATAGTAGGCGTCCCTTAAGTCTATTGAGGTCATCCAGTCTCCTTTTTGACACACTTCAAGATGGTCCTCAAGGATTCCATTTTGAACGTCCTTACGTCGAGCAAGGAGTTCACGCCTTTCAAATTCAAGATGAGACGCCACTTTCCCTGTGGTTTTGGGGCCAAGAAGACCGTGGAGTAAATTCCCTGGAACCATTCCTGTTTTGGAACTTCTTCACCACTTTTTGTTCCAGGAGTAGAGAAATGCAGGACCTCATGGCCCTTCGTTTGATGCCTACCGGCACCTTTGACCTTCTGAAGAATGCAGTTTTCGGGTAAGATGAGAATTATATTCTGTAACCTTCTTTTACGATGGAAGTGACCCATAGGTCTGAAATATTGCTGGCCTATATGGGGTAGAAGAACTTCGGCCTGGGGACCTTCAGAAGGTCTTCCCTGAGGTTCTAGCACCCCTTCCTCTGGAAGCTTTATTGGAAGATGAGTGCGAATAGGATTTCCATGAAGAATTCCTGGAAAACTCCCTTCCTGGTTTATAGCTCCTGCTGTCCCGAAAGGACCGATCCTTGAAGCGCTTGGTCTTCCAGGAGGAGGGAAAAACTCTTCCTGCCAGCTTGAGGTAAACGCCTTTTTCCCCATCAGCAGCTTTTTGAATAGCATCTTCCAGAATCTTCCCAAAAAGGAGATCCCCTCGGAACGGAAGTGCACACAGGGAAGCCTTAGAAGCATAGTCAGCACCCCACGAATGAAGCCACAAGGCCCTTCTAGAAGCCACAGACAGGGCCATGCTTTTGGCAATCATGCGAGTGATGTCCAGGGAGGCCTCTGAACAGAATTCCGTGGCTAGACTAAAGTCCTTGAAGCTTTCCAACAGATGTTCCCTACGGACACCCTGATCAATGTCGTCCTTCAGATTAGTGAGCCACACTTTCAAGGCTCTGGAGAGAGTCATCAGTGCCACTGCCGGATGAAGGGCGGACCCTAGGGCCAAGTAGTCTTTAATCAGGTCTCCATCCATACGCTTCTCCATAGGCTCCCTGAGATATGCCATGGAGTCAATAGGCAGTGTAGTTTTCTTAGCCATATGGATCACTGCAGCGTCAATTTTAGGAACTGAGTTCCACAGGCAGCAATCCACTGTAGAGTACGGATAAACCCTCGCAAACTTATTTTTTAAGGTGGACTTCTTTTCAGGCTTATTCCATTCCTGAAGGATCATATCCCTGATTGGCGCATGCACCGGGAAAGTAGGTCTGTTAGGCTATAGGTCCTCAAAAAACCTGTCAGCCTCCTCCAATTCAGATCTTTCTTCAGTGAGACTAAGCGTGTCTCTGAGAAGGGTAATAAGTCTATCCATAGACCTGGAGTCAAGAGACGTGGAGGCATATTCAGCTTCCTCCTCACCTTCATCTGATACCTCCCAGACATCAGGGTCCTCATCAGAGCTGGAAGACTGAGGTTCCGCTCTGCGTCTCTTACTTGGACCACTAGATCCCGTGGTAGCCATAAAGCCCTCAGCAAATAGCCTGAGAAATCCAGAGCTTAAGGTCGTCTTGTGGAGAGCTCCTACTGGGGGCATCAGCGACTTCCAACAAGCATTCCTTGCAAAGGTTCCTTCTATTCGGAGCAGGCGAAGAACAATTAATGCATTTATTTGACTTTTCCCGTGATTTTCTCGCTGGAGAATCCAAATGAATGCTGGGGCTGGAATGAAGCCATATATGACATATATTACAGGCTCAGTATGGCACTCTTTTAACAACACCCCCCCCCCAATAAAATTAAGAAATGGCTCACCTATGTTTTCTAGAGAGGGATCTTGCAGAGGCAGAGGGAGAATCCATACTATAAAGAAGAACCAAAGGAAAATCCAAGACCTAATTCCCCAAAGGGATAAATAGGCAAACTGACAAAGCAATACTTCCAATAAGTAGTAAAAACAGCAATCCTACCTTAAAGAGCAGAACATCCACTATGCAGCCAGGCAGCAGATAGGAGTAGCTGGGCACAAACTGGACACCAATGCTTTCCCCAGGGGTAAACCAACATAAGGCTAGCAGATATAGCGCCAAGGCAGCTGTATTAGATGCTTTAAAAAAGGTCCGGGCAGCGAACAGCTGATTGCCCGGTTCGCGCATGCGCAGAGCGCTGGAACGCACGCTATGCGTTCCAAACGCTCGCGACCGGCATGCAAATTACTTCTGGTTTCGCCGGAACCGGCTGCGAGCAACAAACAGTCGGCTGGAACGCATAATGCGTTCCAGCCCCCAATGCCCGGGCACACAGGGAGCCCCAGGGAGCAGGGAATCCTGCACAGCCTCACATTAACCCATCAGAGGCTGGAACAGAGCCAGGGAGCAGGGAAGGCACCAAACAAGAGGCAAGAAACAGATCCTAAAGGACAAGACCCCTAAGCATGGATTCAAATACTGCCACCAAGGTATGGGGGGGGATATATAACCCCAATTAGTAGGGGCAGGCTGAAAACAGGGGGAATTTTTAAGGCTAACCAACCCCACAAATAAACAGAAACAGTGTCTCCCTCAAACACTTACTTCCCACGCTGCAGTTCAGTACTTACACTGAACCTGACCCAGTTAGTCCTGCTCATGCAGGCTGTTTACTGGGTCCTTCAAATGAAGAGAGGCTGAACTTCATTTGGAACGAACCCACGACAAACGCAGGAAGGTGGCCATAAAACAAAATGTAAAAAGTCCTGTAGAACTTGCTAAGGACAGGAAAAAAGACTGAGGTGTAGGGGGAGGAGGGACTCCTTATACCTATCAGTCTGATTAATTAATCTAATTAATTCCTGTCCTGTGACTGCTAAGGGAGGAGCTACCCATAAGTGATGCTGCCATGATTAGCCAGGAAAACACTATTTAGTGAAACTCTGTTATTAAGCCAAGGTTTTTGAATACTAACCTTAAATTCATTAATCATTATATATAGGAAGCATACTGCAGCCAGCATTGTTATGACTGAAGAGACAAGAGTAAGAATCAAGACTATTTAACTACAGCATAATGTACGGTGAAATTGTTTATTTTTAAATTACAGAGAAAAATAAAAGTACATTTTAGAGACTGGACCACAGGAAAAGCATTTTAAAAAAGTCGGTCTACTTTAGTTACTTCAAAATAACAATATTGTATAAAGTTTAAATAGGCAAAAAAAAGTGAATATAAATAAATACAGTATGTGCATTGATAAGGTGTTGACAGACTCCTGTCTACCGTATTGACCAAATTCTGAAGATAAATATCTCAGATATTCAATAAAGAAAAAAAAAAAAAAAGAACACTTCATGAGCAGACCATATCAAACAGATATACCATGCCAACGAGTCTGAAGTTCTGCCTTGGAGTTCTCTTCCTATAATGTTTTATTTGTATCCCCCATGTTAATGATGCAGTTAGGCTACTCCGCTTTGAAATAAGAGTGGTTATAGCAAAGTAAACACTGGCAGGATATTCAGTAAAGTGTCAACTGTCTGGAATTCAAATGTTTAAGACAAAATAGGCAAACTGGAAACAGACAGGGGTTTATACAGTTTGAAAGGCTCTTTGAATTCACGACAATTCACATTTTATTGAGTGATCCTGTCTCATTAAGGGAATATTGCTGTCCCTCTTCAATGGAATGTAATCTAGTGATCTGATTTAAAGGCAGAATAAACGGATGGATTCTTTTTTTCTGCTTCACAGTGATAAAAAAAAAGAAAAGAAAATATGAAGAAAAAAAACAAAGACATTCTAAGTATAGTGTTTAAAGGCACAGTTCCTATTTCTGAACATGATTCTGGTTTTATCCAGTGGAAATGTTAAATATGCCTTGTTTTTTTCTTGCTTTGCGCTATAATTTATTTACGTACAGTCTTGCATTAAAAGGTCAAAAATGTACAGTCTGGATTACAGCTCCAAACTTCTAAAATTATTACTCAAGACTGTTGTGAAACACCTGGATCTATTCTACAGCAAGTAACGGTATGTAAATGAATCAGTAGTACCAGAAAAGGAAATCTACGGAACATTGATTTAAAGTCAGAAAAAGGGTTCTGCTAAGCCAACTGCTTTCTCTGCTGTACCACAAACGTATGATGCAAGCTGCACCTGCATCTTTATAAAATAAGCAGTACAAGCAGGTAAACAAGACAAATGTAAACTCTGTAGGGCAAAAGTTTCCAAAAGGCAGCTCAAGTATTAGAATATGGATGTTTGTAGCTCTTTCTTGAACATCCCCTCGAAGTTCAGATCCTTGGCCATCAGCTCATCTTCCAAATCATCTAGCGCCCACTGGTGGTCAGTCAGCTCAAGTGCTTCCCATTCAGTCTGGGGGGAATAACACAAATTTAAAGTTTCAGGCTTGAGACATAACCACTGCATTAAAATAACACATTGTTATTTACTAAAGTGAGAATGCAAAGTGAATTTTAAATTTAAGGGCAAAATAGCCAGATTGAAAGTATACCAAGTCTACTACTAAGTAGACTTGGAGAAAGACACCAGTTTGATTATTTTGGTTTTAAATGTTTGGTGAGCAGTACTGTAATTATTCAGCTTTTCTTGTTAGTCAACAGCCAGTGGCAGAGCAACAGGCTGCTTCCTATTGTAATCTACTCTAATACAGACGGATAGAAAATATGATGTCTGACAGTCATATTTACTAAAGTGGAAATTTAAAGTGAATTTAAATTGTAATCCAAAACAGCTTAAAGTACCACTCCACTTCCAAAATGGGAAAATACAGTTATTGTTTATTAGATATGCCACACTGCAGCTCAATGAGAAGTCCTTGCAAGGCAAGTGCTCTGGGAAGCAATCTGCCTCTTAAATTTAGCTCCACTGTGCTAACCAAGCCAGAAAGTTACAGGGCATGTTGTCTGCTTGCAAGCCAGGGGGTGGAGTGTTACTGTGTTAATTTATAAAAGTTCCACACTCTTCACACAAAGCATTTCAGGAAGCTAAAAAGCTTTAGGACTCTGGAATGTCACCAACTGAAAGCAGCTCCAGAATTTTTCCAACCTAGTCTAAAATTTCAAATATAGTTTAATTTCCCCAAAATGCTTGCTTTAAAGAATGAACCTATTAATGATGTTAATATTTTGTATCTCAAACCAGACACAATGTTTGTTGGGCATAGTATTGATAGATAAAATGTAACTAGACAAATTTTACACTATAAGATTGCAATGCATTAAAGTATTTAGTTAATTTTAACAGCCATCATACTTACATATATGAAATACAGATGTAGACTATTAGCTAGTTAAAAAGGCTTACACTGTTTGATAAGGATAATGCCAACAGAGCACTGCACACATTCTGGTTTAATAGCAGACAAATGTTTTTCTCAAAATGTTAATGTCAGTGTTGACAGGTTTGCAATGACTGCCTCAACCCAGTACCAGATACCTGCTTATTATATTTTTTTTATATTGTTCTTAAAATAGAAGCAAGCTTGAAAGTTAAACATTTTTAAAATGTAAAATGCATATCATGTTTTGTAATTTAAGAGAGTTTCTGTAAAGATGCAACATAGATTGGTTTTAAACTCTTTGAAGCAAGAGGATTAGCAAATAAGTCTCACTATATCATATTTTTTTTATATTATATTTTACAAAACAGCCAGTTGTGATGAGCTGTCAATTATGTTACAAATGCAGGAAACCCCTTTATTCACTTGAATTTATTGTAAACTCTTGACTACTTTAGCCTAAACATAAGTGACAACATAAAAATTATAATTTGGAGGTTTTCATTGCATTGTGGAATGTTGCATGCATAATTTGGCAGCCCACCAAACAAAGATTAATACCTTAAACGCCTTGTTGGTGTCTGCCGGCATTGCCATAGCTGCTCCAGTCATCTGTTCTTGCATCACTCTCGACTGATCTGCGGCTGATGAGGCAACACAGAGAGGTTTAATGTGAAATACAAACAACAAGAGAGTTACAGCACACACGGGTTAACCCATAAAATAACAATTATAGGGTTTATGTGAAACATATACACAAAATAATAAACAGCACAGATAATGGTAATTCTCAGGTATTAGATCATGCATCACAATGGAGTTCCCCATTAAAGACATGTTTATTTTGTACAGTGAATCATTCCCTAACAGGACATCATACATTCTGCAATTATTTATCTTCACTGTTTGAATATTTACAGAAAAATCTGCAAACAAGACATTTCTCCTATGACTATAAATAAAGTAACTGGGTGTAACTGATATTTTCGAGCACCATAAGTTATCACTTAGAATGAACACTGTCAAGGGAAACATAAATCACTTGTTACCATTGTCTTGGCCCAGAATAAGAGAATAAATGCTTCTCAATCCAAATACATTAAGAAAGTACCATGATGCCGAGCTCACCCTGCAGAAGAAACACAAACAAACAAGAACAAAAGTGAGGATAGGGTTACAGCAGTAAGAAAGGTTTAACTCTCTGAGGACCAGGGATGTCTTGTATTTTGTCCCTACTGGACGCTGGACCAATTGTGTGCATTTTCATCTCTTACTTCAAGGAAATCTACATATTGTTTATTAAGGGTTACTCCAAGCACCATGACCACTTCAGTGACGCGAAGTGATCATGGTAACTGTATGTGCAGTGTTTTAGTATGAAATGTTGCACATGTAGAGTTTAAGCCATCTGCTTCCGGAAGTCCATCTCGGGCAAGCATCATTGAGGCGCCAATAGCCAGTCTGAAACAGGAGTTTCAAATTAACGTATGCAAGTTTTCATGCCTAGATTTGCATTCATTGGCTGACAGCAGTGAACTGACGCACTCACTGAACAGTGTTTCAGTATGAGGTCAGAACATAAGTATGCAGGGAGAGATAGACAAGCACAAGTAAAGTATGGCTGCCTCTTCTGTTAGCTCAGGGGAGCTAACGGAAGGAGAAAGCAAACCACCCTTGCTGCTCGATTGGTAGTTGGGGAGGTGGGGGTGTGTTGCATAACTGAATTATAAAAGTGCCCATTTTCCAAATACGTGCACTTTTATAAACTGGGGTTAAAATAGGATGCCGCTCACCCATGAAGCGTTTCAGCAAGCTAAAAATATTTTAAGGGTGTGGAATGGTCATTTAAAGGCCAACGTTTTTAAAATGTGCCAAGTTGAGGGTTGCAAGTATGATCATGGTGACTAAACTCAAAACTATCAGGGTTATGAATTCAAGTTAATTAAATTGTGTTATGTTTAAGGGGTGTTTTGTGCTTTATAACACAGCTATTTTTAGTTAATAGCTTTGTAGTAGAATATTTTTTTCCACTTTTTGCATTGTGTCTGCAGGTTTTGATCAGAGTGCATGCAAAATGCCCTAATTCTGAATACAGAAATGCCAAATTTTGGGACACTTTACAATCCTCAAGTTCAAATGTCCTACACAAATTATATAATAAAAAGCATACACTCATGGTAACTCACTAAGGCCATCTTGCCACTTTTGTATGACTGATCTCTGCCAATATAAGCACAAACTGGTACTACTGCACCGTTTGTCTTAATCACGGTTCAGCAAAAGTAATCAAGGAGTTAAAATAATTTTAATAAAAAAATTGATATTGTGGGACTCTGGTTTAAACACCCAAATAGTTTCTATGAAACACTAAAATCACATACCTGTCTATCTTGCACATGTGATTCGCTATTAGAGTGATCACAAGTTGGCACTAAACAGTCTCACATTTTAGGACTGTAAGTGTAATAAACACACATTTTTGTGATAGTCGTGACACATAATATGTCACCAAGGGGTTAGTTTAATTTTTAAGGGGGTTGGTGAAAAGAAAGGCGGGGTCTTGGGACATTTATTTTTCCCAATTACTAAATTTCTGAAAGCTGCAAATCTGTCAAGTTGCTGATAGAACTGTAATTAGTTACTTGGTTGTGGGAGAGGTAAGGGGCCACGTTTAGAGCAAGACAGGGGGCTTCATATTTTCTTTTGCCTTCTTTGCTGGACACCTCAAGCAACCAAAAAACAGTTAATATAAAGTACCAAAAGAACCAACCAGTATGAAGATAGGCATACAAAAACCCCATCAAGATCCACCCCAATTTCTCTTTCTTTGCTCCTGCCTCCAGGTGAGTTGTTCCCAGCTTAGAGTATTTTTTTTTCCCGACCTTATTATGTTTTTATTTCTTGATTATTTTGGTTTTATTTGCTCTTCTTTGCTTTGCTCCCTTCATATCTCTCTGTTCCCCATTGTTTACTCGCGATGTGCCTACAATGGCTCCATGAATATGCAAACTTTTCCCCTTAGTGTTTTGTTTTTACTCCCCTTTTGGCGGTCTCTCTGCCCTTCCAGTTACCTGCTTCTCATTTTAACCAATTATATTTTGCTGCCAATTTTCCCAGTAACACTCTCTCATAGTATCTTGTTTTCTTTAAGATTAGTAATCTAAAGTAATCTTATTCCTTCTGATGTGGCTATTTATTCTTTTTTTTTCTTCTTCGTATTATAACAGAGCTGACACTTTGGTATTTTTTTACTCATAATTTATGCTTATAAATCCCTTGAGATTGAGCAGCATAGAAACCGCCAAGCAGAATAAAGCCTTCTCAAGGATTAAAAAAAAACAACAACAAAAAAAAAAAAACTTGCCCACCCATAAAAACGGTTGACCACTTACAAGGTTATTCACTAGTGAATTTAAAGTTTACGGTGAGACTGCTTGCACTGAAAGAATAGCAGACTTAAGAGAATTTGTCAGGTCGGCTATTTTTGTCTTAAATTGGCAATTAACTTTGAATTCTTACATTAGTAAATATCCCTGTTAATATTTACTGTATACACTTTGTTAGAATAATTTTCATCATATAGCATGGTTTCAGTTTGTAATTTTATATATATGTTTGTCATCCTGAAGAAGGCTCCAAAGGAGAGCCGAAACATTGATGTGTAATTTTTATTTTTAAATTAAAAGCTATATTTTATTTCATCTGAAAGTCCCTGGAGTCCTGTCTGTTTACTGGAACATTTGCATCTTTTTGCTGGATCAGTACCGGGCAAGAACTGTATTGGTACCAAGAGTGCAAGCATTTTTGTGTAATGTAATTATATATATATAAAAAACATTTGTAATTAGATCCAAATCAGTATATGAACCTAAGTCACTGAGGTGTGATATGCATCTCTTCTCATTCCGTTTGCATTTGGTGGACAGTCAGATAACAAGGAAATGTTATTGAGGTTCACTCACATGTTATGAGAAAATGTCAGTGTGAGGTTTCAGAAACCCAATGACTAACACAAAATCAACCAGAACTGCAGAATCAGAGACACTATTTTAGAAATATACAGATGCCACAAGTACTTTAGCATTCACAAAGAAGATCAAGGTTCTTCCTATAGTAAACGTATATTAAACATTTATTTTCCTTACCAGGAAGCATCCAAAGACAATAGCTCTATTCCTTGCTGCAGCATAGGTTTGAATCGTAGAGTCAATGGAAATGGCACTTTAGCTAAACAGAACAAACAATGACAGTGGATACATTATAGTATAAAGTATAGTAGTAGATTCATCATCAGATAGATAAACTGTCCTAGCAGGTAAAGACATGACACTGTATGAAACGTAGTTAGTCTAGTAGTGCATAGCATCATATGTCAATGTTGTAGAACAACTCAAACACTGGACTATTAAACAGTTTTTATGCTTTGTTAGGAAGAATGTTTACCACACAAGTGATGCAATTGCACAACAGTCAAAATAAAGGCAATATAATAAATGCCAAAAAAAAAAAAGTATATATTCAACTATTTCATATATGACATCCAGTCATTACGGTCACATTCTACTGGTGGATTTATTACCTATACTGTGTAAAAATAAAAATATAGTTATACCAACAACTGTCAATGTTTCTGGAGTTTGCGAGCAAAGACGAAACAGAAAATACTGTTCTGCCATTAGAGGAGTAATCGGATTCCTTTGTTAAAGAGGAGGATTGAAGTAGAAAGAGCATCTACTCTTGGCATGTCAGTTTGTCTCAACTTGTTTGTGTTGTAATCACTTGTTTTCTTTTGTATTTTACCTATATTCAGGCTAATGAACAGATGCCTTGGTAGCTTAGTTTACAAACAATCTTGTGCCTCCTCCTGCTACAGTACAGCAGTTTACCTACACAATGGTGGTTTCTTTAGAATAAGGTCACTAATATATTATGCTTTACCTGCTCAGCTTTCCAATGTTTTACATTTTTGATTACAAGATATAGAATGCTGAATAAGCAGCAGGGCACCGCAGTTTTAACACTACAGGACAAGTCAACAAGCCATTGTGCTTTTGTAATCTTATTAAACTGACAAAAGCCTCTTAGCATAAATAGGCAACGTCTGCCAGCACTAAGTAATTCAAGTAAATGATAAATAAATCACAGCACATTAAGAGTGGCCGTCTATGTCGTGTTAATTTCTGAATAAAGGTTAATTTATCGTACGTTTTATTAAGGCATAACTTGAGAGAGCAATCCTCCTGTCTTAAAGTCCAACATGTTCCCAATCCATACTGCACCAAACTTACTTGTCACAAACCCAGAGAAGGTCATATTAATCCAGCCACCAATGAGAATCATTGGAAGAACATTTGTAACATTTCCTTTCATCATGTCTGTTAACATTGTTGGATCTGAAAAGAACAAAAAACAAACACAAAAAAGAAGTCAGGCTAAGCTCTGTACCACACATTTAAACTTAAGGCTAGGAGTACACATACACACAAAAAAGAAAAAATAGAATGTGTGTAATATATATTTATTAATTTATTGCACACCTATTCATAGAAATATACAAATATACATATACTTTCCCCCCCCCCCCAAAAGTTACTTTGGAAACTGTAGACTGTATAGTGCGGAAGTCGTGTAGCAATCTGCATACTTAGAAAAATTGTATTTACATAAACACACAGCATAACAAGGAAGCCTTAAAGGAACAGTACCATCCCCATAGCAACTTATTCTCAATATGAAAGAGAAATACAGACACAAGTCCAAATAGGAGGATAACAGGAGGAAGCCCTACCTTTAATAGTACTAAGGGGAACAGTAAAAATGCATATACCAAAAAGAGGAAGGGCAAAACCTAAAGAGGCTGCAATTAGCCAGTAAATTTAAACTGCTAATAAGGCTACAGAAGTGCTGCAAAAATGACAGCCTGCCTACACAGATGGGTAAGGCTAAACAAGGTAATATGGAGAGAAAAAAAACCCAAGCAAAAGTGGGAGAGAGCCCCCCTCCCCTCCTGCAAGAATCCCCAAAGCCAAATATAAATAGAGTAGCCGGGCTGACCCTGAAGTACCTCGGCACAGTGGAACATCCACTAATGCCTACCGAAACCTCTGTCCCTTCCTCCACTAAGATAAACACACTAACTAACTAAAAATAGTGCATAGTGCTACCTAGTGAATAAAGGTGAAAAAATAAACAAATAGCAAGACGCACGTTTCGGCGTGTGAGTACGCCATCGTCAGGAGCATATTATTCTCAATATGTACTATTACTCTCAAGTGAAAGACAGAGTGCTATCTGCTGCTCTCAGCGGCTGCCTAGCAAATCATCCTGATTACTGTAGTGACTGGAGAGAGGAAGAAAGGATGCAGAGGACTGCACCTATGGTGTTAAACTGCTGAAAAACAATTTAAACTGAAGGTAGATGGAATCCAGACACTCCTGCCTCAATTACACATTCATTGAGATTATGTTATGAAAAATAAGGAAACACCGTTGTTTTATCCAGGTAATTCTTATCAAATGAGAGTGTATTCTGCACTACATGGATTATACAAGCTTTACAAAAATGTTTAAAATGCAGATGTATTCGTTTTTCTGTACCTGTCATGGGAGAAGGGGGAACAACTTTCCTCTTTGTCTTTTTAAAAAATCCATCTTCTGCATTATTGAAGAAGAATTTCCTCATCAAAAAGGACTGGAAAGCAAAGACATTGGTTTACTTAAGCACGAAAAGTATAAAGCTGCGTATTAGCAATCTAATATAATGCATGTATAGTTTTGATCTGCTTTAAAGGGTATCTGTCATGGTGTTACACTTTCCATAATTGGAATTCTCTTCGAATTTCATTTAAACATTGTGCTAGCCAACTAGTAAACGTACAGATTTGTGTAAAAAAATGCTGCTAAACACACTCTCCCTCTCGATGTCTGTCTGTCTGTCTGCCTTAGTCAACACCTACTGGCGGAGTGTAGGCAGTTCTTACCACCAGCTTCATTTGTTTAATTGAGTGGGTCCTAGTATACTTAGAAACATAGAATGTGACGGCAGAAAAGACCCATTCGGCCCATCTAGTCTGCCCAATATTTCAAAATACTTTTAATTAGTCCCTGGCCTTAGCTTAAGTCTAGGATAGCCTTATGCCTATCCCACGCATGCTTAAAATCCCTCATTGTGTTAACCTCTACCACTTCAGCTGGAAGGCTATTCCATGCATCCACTACCCTCTCAGTAAAGTAATACTTCCTGATATTATTTTTAAACCTTTGTCCCTCTAATTTAAGACTATGTCCTATTGTTGTGGTAGTTCTCCTTCTTTTAAATATAGTCTCCTCCTTTACGGTGTTGATTCTCTTTATGTATTTAGTCTTGCTAACAATATACTACAAATGAGATTGTACTCTCCCCCTGTAGCTCAAGCCAGCACTTTAAGAATAAAAAGGAAGCGAGTGACGTCTGACATACTCTGTTCAATGGGCTGATGTGCTGGCAGTGAAGCCAGCACATCAGTGTCATCAGAAGAGCAATGCCAGCTGTGGGAAAGAGAGGCAGGACTAAGAAAAACAATCATGCCTAGGGAGGTGGGCAACTGGCAATGATGGAACCGTTAGGAAGAATGGAGTATCTAGAAACCACTATGAAGTTCCAAAAATTAAAAATTTTGGTAAGCAAAAAAAAAAAAAAAAAACAAGTTTTTTAAAGTTATTAAAGTTTACATTTAGGCAATAGGTTCATTTTAATAAAAATAAACATTTACCACTCTGAGCAGTCTTAACCCCTTAAGGACTGGACTGTTTTTGCGATGTTGTACATTTGCGACCAGGCATATTTTTACACTTTTGTGGTGTTTGTGTTTGGCTGTAATTTTCCGCTTTCTCATTTACTGTTCCCATACAAATTATATATTGTTTTTTTCAGGACAAAAGGGGCTTTCTTTACATACCATTATTTATATAATCTCATGTATTTTAATTTTAAAAAAATACAAAAATCTGATGAAAAATTGAAAAAAATACATGTTTTTTGACTTTTACTTGAAAAATCTTTTACTCATCTACAAAAGCGAATGAAAAAAACTGCTAAATAGATTCAAAATTTTGTCCTGAGTTTAAAAATACCCAGTGTTTACGTGCTTTTTTGCTTTTTTTTTGCATGTTATAGGGCTATAGGTACAAGTAGGATATTGCGGTTTCAAAACATACATTTTTAAATTTATCAATAGTGACATTGTAACACTATTATCTGTCATAAATCTCTGAATAACACCCCACATGTACATATTTTTTTAAAGTAGACAACCCAGGGTATTCAATATGGGGTATGTCCAGTCTTTTTTAGTAGCCACTTAGTCGAAAACACTGGCCAAAGTAAGCATTCATATTTGTTTGTGTGTGAAAAAAGTAAAAAAACTAAATTGAACGCTAATTTTGGCCAGTGTTTGTGACCAAGTGGTTACTAAAAAAGACTGGACATACCCCATTTGCAATACCTTGGGTTGTCTTCTTTTGCAAATGGTATGCCATCATGGGGGTAATTCTCATTCCTGGGCTACCATACGCTCTCAAAGGCAACGTAACCAACCTGGCCATTTTCAATGTAAAAATATTTGACCCATATATTTGACCCTGTAACTTTCAAAATGCTATAAAACCTGTACATGGGGGGTACTGTTATACTCAGGAGACTTTGCTGAACACAAATATTAGTGTTTCAAAACAGGAAAACGTATCACAACAATTATATCATCAGTAAAAGTGCTGTTTGTGTGTGAAAAATGCAAAGAAAGTAACTTTCACTGACAATATCATCACTGTGATATGTTTTACTGTTTTGAATCACTAATATTTGTGTTCAGCGAAGTCTCCCGAGTAAAACAGTACCCCCAATGTACAGGTTTTAGGGTGTCATAGAACGTTACAGGGTAAAATACAGTGCTAGCAAATTAAATTCTCTGGAATTTCGGCCTGGGTTGGCAGGCAGGTCCCTCAAATTGCAATCAATAAAATTACTGAATTATGTAAAATATTACATAAATACGCACGTAGAATTTAAATATATATGCATATTTATATATTTGAAGTCTACGTGTATATTTATATAATTATTTATGTAATTTTGTATATGGACATATGTATATTTCGTATTATTTTTATTTATTTTTATATACATAGATATATACAAATTCATTCTAAGTGTATTTTGATATAAATATATATATATTAATTTTAAAATACAGTTAGAATAAAATTTCATATAGCTATATAATTTTTTTAAAATTTTTTATTATTTAAAAATTTTTTTATTTAATTTAAATTACTTATTATTTATATTTTATAATAATATATATACACAATATATATAGTTATTATATATATTATATATATACGTGTGTAATTTAATTATAAGTGTATTTTGATATTAATATAAGTACATATTAATATAAAAATACACTTAGTATGGCATTATATATATGATATATAGACATATATTATATAGATATAATATATGTCTATATATCATATGTACACATATATAATTATTTTTATTTTTTTTATTAACACTAAACACTTCTGATTTTACACTAGCAGGGAGACTGCCTGTCAGCACAGACAGTCCCCCTGCAGGCAGACACATGGACACCTATTGTGACCATGTGATCGCTGTGTTAAGCGATCACATGGCCACAGGGGGTCCTAATCTGCCGTGGGGAGACTGTCTGGGCTGCAGGCAGTCTCCCCACAACCGGAGCCACGCTGATCGCCGCCGGGGGAACGACGGCGATCAGGTAAGTAGCTCTGACCGTTAGGACGGTTCAGGACCGTCATCGGTCGGCAACGCAAAAATGCCGATGACGGTCCTGAACCGTCCTCGGTCCTTAAGGGGTTAAATAATTATGAAAAAAAAAAAAAAAGAGGAAGAAAACAAAAAACAGACACATAACTCCCATAGTAATAAACTCCGCACATCAGGAGTGCATGCACTACTTGGTACCTGCTTAGAAATGTATTTGCCGTTTTCCCGAAGTACTCTGCTTCGAATCAGCACTTGACTGGAAGAGAACAAGAAGATTATTACATACATAAACCAGACTGAATCATTTCCTCAGGTAGGCTGCATGAAAATTTCCCAATGAGACCCAAGGAGCAAAGATATACATATCTATATACAACATTTAACAAAAATCTGCACACCAGTCAAGCCATAAGACTTGCTTTTCCCACAGAAATCACAAATCTGCAGTCATGTTATTACCGCAGAGGATTCTGGGTTGGCACATGCAAATTATTCTTTGTTAAACTAATTTGCATATGTATAGTGCTGGATGTTGTAATGCCACAGGATTCACTATAGTCTGTAATTTAAGTATATACAGTAATGCACCACAGGACCTGTAAGTGGGCACCTGGAGGTTACTCTGTTAAAGTCTGGGCACCTTTTAAAATGATAACCAACTTTCATTTTTCTTACACAGTGAGTAAGCAAACATTTACCTCTAACAGATAAATCCCTCAGTACAAAAAACATCTTTGTTACCATTAGTTGGACAGATAAAAGCCCTACTTAAATATGTAACACGCGTTTTCAAGGGGATCTCACTTTGGATTAAATTTACAGTTCAAAAGTCACCAACAGACACCGCACTATACCTGGTGGACTAGTGGATGGGAGCAGGAATGCCGGAACTTCCAGTGAAAGAAATAGCTGGCTTTGCTCCATTGCTGTTCCTTGGTGGTGTCAGCGGTTGGGAGTGACAAGGCATGTGCAGATCCCAAAATATGCTCTACTAGTTATGGTTTATGCTAAGTTTGGAGTGTCCCTTTGTGCTCACTCCAATAATTGTAACGACCAAGACCCATTGTAACCATATTGCTGTCTTGTATCAGAGAGAGACATATACTTTACCTGTCTGATACTTGTTCTTGTGTTAGTTTTTTGTCGCTCTGAAGCAGGATGGAGACATAATGGCGGATCATTCCCACAAAAAATGTGATGAACACAATTGGAAGAACCACCCATAAACGGATGTTAGAGTCCAACAAAAGCTCTGGCTCCGTCATGTCTGCTGTAAACTCTGTAATGGAAGATGATGCAATAAGCTTAAATTGTACTATATGGGATACATAGAGGGGGGGTGGGGGGGGGAGGGGGAAGCACATAAAACTCTCTTTACAGGAATTAAGGTGCACACACCAAGCATTCCATCCCTTTGCACAATTACTTGCATGAAAGAAGAAAATCTGCCCTTATAAGTCAACCTATCATCCATATACATCGGAGGAGAAAGCTACTATAATGTGCCATGTGCACTCCATATAACTCCCCACCTCCGCTAAGATGTTCCTTCATAGGGCTCTATGTTTTGTTGGTTCAGGAAGGGAGTTTAATGTTTCAGTAAAGTAGTCTGACTTTCTTACAGGGGGTGGATTAATACCATGAATTTAGTCTGTCTCGGGCATGGTAAGGATTACATGTCAGTTGGGGCATCTGTCTGGCAGGAAAGAGTGTAAATGTTTTTTGATGAGCCAGCAGAAAAAAAAAAAAAAAAAAAGTAATATATTGGTCTGCCACACTGGCAGGTAATACCATTTAGTGGGCTGATGTATTAGCATTTAAGTGGATCTGTCATACAGACATGATAGAGGTACTCTGGCATGGAGAGTGTGGGTTGACTCTCTTTATTGTCAGTAGATCCCGAGCATGATTTACACAAGAAACAACTAGAATCTATTATATGAGCACTCTATCAGGAATATTTACTAAACTCTGAAATGGAGCCAACTGAAAACCAAATATAACAATTACCTGATCCTGAAAGGAGTCTCCAAATAGCTAGAATCACCACTTTTATTCAGTCAGAATTTTGCAATTTGGATTTATTTGTGCCACACTTCAGATTTAAAAGGGCACTCCACTGCCCAAAATACATAAAAGCACATATTTAGTAGATATACCCCAAATTATAACTTTCATACATTTAATTATACATTTTTCAATTGGCGTTACATCTAAAAACAGCTTGCAAAAACTGCAGCTCTCTTGTCTGCTGCCTTTGCAAGCCCTCCCCTTCTACCCCCACGAAGACTATCTGTGGCTGTCTAATCACAGACTTCCCAATGCAGCTCAATGAGAAGTCTTTGCAAGGCAGGTGCTCTGAGCAATTGCTGCCTCTTCAGTTTGGCACCACTAAGCTAACCAAACCAGGAAGTAACAGACCTGTTGTGTGCTTAACAGCCAGAGGACTGTAACCAAGTTTGTTCCTAAAAAGAAAAGTGTCTATTTCTAATTAAATCTGCTCTTTTTGAAACATGAAAAATAACACTCTTCACACAAAAAGATTTTCACCAAGCTACAGTGCTTTAGTGGTCTAAAGTGTCCCTTTAAGTGAATAAACCTTCATCAGGATTATTCACCAAACCAGAATTTCCAAAAAAAATTATCTGATAGGGTTATTCACTAAACTGCACATTTTAGCAAACTAAATCTACTACATGGCAAAACAGGGGTTAAATCAGCAGATTTGGAAAAATTATCCTTTAAATGCACAGCGTGCTTATTTTAACCTCAGTTTTCCAAAAATGACCCTGCAAGAATACAGCTCTGCCCTTTTTGAAGCCCAGTGTTGATGCCGGCTAGCCCAGCGGGGTTAAGGCCGGGTAGCCCGGGGATGTTGATGCCGGGTAGCCCGGGGATGTTGATGCCGGGTAGCCCGGGGATGTTGATGCCGGGTAGCCCGGGGATGTTGATGCCGGGTAGCCCGGTCATGTTGATGCCGGGTAGCCCAGTCATGTTAAAGCCGGGTAGCCCAGGGATGTTAATGCCGGGTAGCCCAGGGATGTCGATGCCGGGTAGCCCAGGGATGTCGATGCCGGGTAGCCCAGGGATGTCGATGCCGGGTAGCCCAGGGATGTAGATGCTGGGTAGCCCGGGGATGTTAATGCTGGGTAGCCCAGGGATGTCGATGCTGGGTAGCCCAGGGATGTTAATGATGGGTAGCCCAGGGATGTTGATGCTGGGTAGCCCAGGGATGTTAATGCTGGGTAGCCCAGGGATGTTAATGCTGGGTAGCCCGGGGATGTCAATGCTGGGTAGCCCAGGGATGTTAATGATGGGTAGCCCAGGGATGTTGATGCTGGGTAGCCCAGGGATGTTAATGATGGGTAGCCCAGGGATGTTGATGCTGGGTAGCCCAGGGATGTTAATGCTGGGTAGCCCAGGGATGTCGATGCTGGGTAGCCCAGGGATGTTAATGATGGGTAGCCCAGGGATGTTGATGCTGGGTAGCCCAGGGATGTTAATGCTGGGTAGCCCGGGGATGTCAATGCTGGGTAGCCCAGGGATGTCGATGCTGGGTAGCCCAGGGATGTTAATGCTGGGTAGCCCAGGGATGTCAATGATGGGTAGCCCAGGGATGTTGATGCTGGGTAGCCCAGGGATGTTAATGATGGGTAGCCCAGGGATGTTAATGCTGGGTAGCCCAGTGATGTTAAAGCCGGGTAGCCCAGGGATGTTAAAGCTGGGTAGCCCAGTGATGTTAATGCCGGGTAGCCCAGGGATGTCAATGCTGGGTAGCCCAGGGATGTTAATGCTGGGTAGCCCAGGGATGTTAATGCTGGGTAGCCCAGGGATGTTAATGCTGGGTAGCCCAGGGATGTTAATGCCGGGTAGCCCAGGGATGTTAATGCTGGGTAGCCCAGTGATGTTAATGCTGGGTAGCCCAGGGATGTTGATGCTGTGTTGGCTATAGACAATGAGTATAATAGTCTCTATCCCTATTGATAACGGTGCCAGTCTCCATCCCCATTGCGAGCTTTGTTACAATGACTATATTAGCTATCTGGAGTGCTGGCCTCTCCCCCTGCACTATAACGGCACCGCACGGCATACATTACCCCAGGCACCTCCTTACCGAACACCTCTCACCGACAGAAACCGCTGACAGCACTTCCTCCTCCCACACCGGGGACAGCTCTCAGGCCCTCACACAGCCGCCCAGGCTGGAGGTCACGCCCACACTCTAATCATTGGCTGCTGCAGCTGTCAGTCTACTGGTTACACTGGGAGACCAGCTAAGGGAGCCAATCGTCAGCTTCATTCAGGGGGGGGGAGGAGGGGTGGTACCATGTGACAGGAAAGAGGTGTGATTTTTACCCACAGACGGGTACCTTGCTGTAACCATGGTGATGGAGCCTGGATGGTGAAAGAAGCAAGTCGGCCATGTTTGATAAGGGAAATTCATGTATCTAATCAAACAGTACTGGCACAAAGCAATCACAGATAGTTACTGGGGCTCTATTGTGACTTTATTTTCCCTTCATGCTCAGGCAGGGGACTTTCACTTGGAGTGGCAAGAAAATAGTAATCATTGTGGATTTAGTCACTAAACAATGATTTGCAATAAATTGAAACTTGAATTGCAAAATTAGTCCAAACAGCTGATTTAGTCAAACTCTCTAAGCTGGCTACAGTCACAGCTTGGTGAGCCAATAGTTTGCTATCTTTTACAAGGTTATTATTCACTACAACATTACCAGGAATTCAAAGCAAATTTACAGTTTGAGCACAATTAGCCAAACTGGAAAAAATCACCAAGTCATTGAGCACAATTGGCCTTAAAAAAAATCTCAATGTATCTTTCCTGGTAAAATATTTTATAAATAAATAAATAATTTTGGCCAGTTTGATTACTATAAGTCTAAACATTAAATGCATTAAAATCGCAGCTCTGCAAATAGTACTTTTAGATTTGCACGCATTAATATTTCTACAGAATTGCAGGGATTGGTATAATTAAAATGTAAACTAGAGCACATAATCAAAGGGTTACCCCAATCACCATAACCACTACAGGTGTGTGCCATTCCAAATTATGTCCAATCAATCACATTTGCTATTGGCAGATTCCAATCAAATTGAAGAAACATGTAAACGATGATCCATGATCATGAAATGCTTGTAAGCTATGTTTTTAGTGTCATAGCAACAATTCTGAATACTTATGTTAATTTGTGTGTTTCTTCTTTTTAATAAATTTGCAACATTTAAAAATTTGCTTTGTCATTATAAAGCATTAAGTGTCGATTGATGTGAAAACATTTTCATTTTTTTTTTTTTTAACTATCAATTTAGTATAAGGCTACTCTCACGTTTCAGTGATAAGCTCTCAATGGAATGGACTTAGAATATGGAGACACCAAGATGGAATAATTTTAATTTAGAGTGGCACTGTCATGGCCGAATCCAGTTTTTTATTTTTTTTAACCCCCCCCTCTCGACTCCACTATATCCAATTGCCCCCCTAGTCACCACAAATTGCCCTTAAGCCCCCACATTACCTATTTTTAAATCTTCGTTTTGTACTCCGACCTAGGTTCTGGGGGCTGCCATCTTTGTGTGGGTAGATGAAGTTCCTGTGGGACACGTAATCTGCCCACACTAGATAGCGCTGTATAATTCCAGCGCATGCCCAGTTAAATACTTCGGCATTCGTCAGAAAGACGAAGGAATGAATAGAAATTTCAGACGAACAAACACCAAATACACATACATAAGGTGGAGCTGATTGGAATAAATATACTATAAATCTGTAAAGATAAAAAAATAACAAATGTAAAAATACCCCCACACTGGTGACTAGGGGTCCTCAAGACCCTAGTCACCCCCCCACCCAAATAAAATGTAAAAAAAGCCCTACCAACCCCCGTCACCTCAAAAATAGTGAGGGGGGAGACAAAACTAAATACCTGTAAATAAATAAATAAAAATACTTACCATTTGATGTTTTCTTTTTTCTAAAACCTTCCTTTTTCAGCTCCAAAAAAAGGCCAAATAAAAATCCATAATACCCATCGAACTTATCAAATAAAATAAAAACCTGAGCCTGCCGCTCATGGTGCCCTTCCCCCTATTTTCATTTATTGCACCCACCCGCTGCTCTTGGGGGCTGGGGGCAGGTGAGGACAGTAGGTGTCCCCCTCTTATTGTAATTTAGGGCCCCCACCCGTTCATGGGTATGGGCCGGAGGGGGAACGATAGGCCCCCCCCCCCATTGTCATTTAGGGCCCCCATCCGCCGCTCGTGGGTATGGGCCGGAGGGGGGACAATAGGCCCCCCCATTTTCATTTAGGGCCCCCATCCGCCACTCATGGGTGGGGGCCGGGGGGTGGAATACAATGGGACGCCGCTTTAAGTACAGTATAACCCCATGCGCTTCTTTTTTAGCCACAACATGTCACCTTGGGGAAAATTTCCATTAAATGCAAAGAACCCTACTACCAATACTCCTGTAACCTATGAACACCCTTTTGTTCTTCTCTGGTCAGTGGTGGTGGACTGAATACAAAACTAAGTCTATGGGTCTTATATTCACCAAACGTTGGAAAGAACCATAACTTGTTTTAGTTCATTGCCTTGGGTGTATGCTCTGCTCCTTCATCAACACTCAAAAAAAGTAACATTTAAAATGTCTGCTCTACAATTACTATGTAACTCATCTCAATGTTTAAGGCGTGCGATTTTATTGGGAACAGTCACGTCTTATTCATCAGAGCTCAGACAACTGCCTGCAGTTAGTTGTTTATTGTATTACTTTACCCAGTCCTTTCATACAGGAACAAGTTAAATACACCTGTTCTTGTGGTGCAAAATCCTAGTAATACAGAGTTAAAGGAACTCCCTAATAACACTCCATTATGGAAAACAGCTTGCCAAAGCAGCATACCTCCTGTCTGTAGCCTTTACAAGCCCTTTTGTTTTTTCAGTCTGTGCCTAGGTATAAAGCTATTCGAGTCTTCTCATCTCTGCTCCTTGAGAAGGGCAAGGCAGGTGTGCTCTATCCAAGCATGCCTGCCGCTTCTGCTAACTATTTGTAACTAAGAGAAGAGGAAGAAAACCTCACTGGCTATCTGATTGATCAGTGTTGCAGTCCATCGGTTATAACTGCCAATTTAAATAGAAAATATATAAACGGTCACAAAAAAAATTACTGACTCCAGACAATAAGCTTGAGTGCTTTATGTGTCTAGAGTGTTCCTTTAAGACTTGTATAGGAAAACAAGTAGTTTAATAAATAGAGACTAGGGCAAATCCCATTACAACATGACATTACAACATGACATACATGGTGTGTTAATATTGATGTATAAGCCACTGTTTTATGTAATCAGATGTCTTATGTGAATTGCTCAACTTAAACACATACTAGGTTACAAGTAAGAAAGGAGACAATTCACAGCTGTTCGATGCACATGGGAAAGAATAAACATTTAATTATTTTGAATTACAGTTTAATTGTCTAACACTTGTAGTGTGCAATATACATAAGGTTTTTTTTTGTTTGTTTGTTTTTTTTTACATATTAGAAGTCCTTTTGAATTGTCTTTTGTGTGTGCTAGGCAATCCATCATATCTCATTTTACAGAATGCGATGAAGCAGACTATCGGCAATCACAAAACAGTCCACTGTTTTTAATCAGAATCTTCCTCTTCATTCTCGTCCTCTTCTTCCATTTCCTTGTCACTTTTTTCATTGTCTTCCTCCTGCAAAAAGGCATGGTTAAAATTATGTTTTGGAACACACGTTTAGAAAATCCCTTATTACATAATATTATAAAAATTGTCTATTTTACGCAAAGATGGCTTTTCATATAATTATTTAGGAAAGCATGTTATCATAGAAAAATTATTACATTAAGCATCACAACATAAAACTACATTATCTGGTACCTCTTCTGCATCTTCTTCATCTGCGGGCATCTGGGACTCTTGCTCCTCTTCAGTCCCACTGCCTTGAGACTGCTGTGATAGGATCTCCTCACCCTTAGATCAAGACAAACAAAACAAACAAAAAAAAAACCATGAGTATACAAAAGTATAAATACAGCTACAGCGACTATGTCTTGACAAAGAGAAAAAAATATCCAAAGGATTTGTCAGGTGAATACCACACCCAACACATGTAGAGTATGAAGACACAGACCATGTTGCACTAAGCTCTTCAAGTCTTTTTTGCACTATGGCTATCTTTGAATAGCCTGACTGGAGTACAAATCTACTCCTCTGATACCATTATATGATCATTTCTTTGTTTCTGCTAAGATTACATAAAACTTTTACTGAACACAAATACTAACTAGCAGGTAATAATTTTTATTTATTGAAAATATTTTATATCTACAGCTTTAAAAATATATTGGATTTGTAGGTTATAAAAAATCTAGTGTAAAATTGTGTTTGTTATTCATTTATGGGTATCTGATCGATTAACTATTTATTTTCAAAATAGCATATTGGAATGTTTAGAAAATGCATGCACTGTATCGCACTTTACAATATTGATGGTTTTAGGGTTTTATATCAGTCGTCGTCAAGCACATGACTTTTGGTTTTGCATTAGACTGCATAGCCTTAAATGAGCAAATGCACTTTTATAGCTGTGTTTATTGAAACGTAACTAGGGAATGGACAGGGGAACAATGATGAACTTGTATAGTACTATACAGTACAATGAGGTCACACAGTGCATAATCAACTGGGAGGAAGAAGTAATGACTGTTGGTAAAAACACTTAATTTTTTAATGTTACAATGCTGTCACCCACCCCATTTGGTACCTATTAAGGGGTAACAGGTATGTAGGGATTTAGAAAAATACCCCTCCCTGTAGGCTGAATTGTTAGTGTAGGACCCACCTAAGAGGTTTGCCTTGATGTGGCAGGTGGGCTTACATCTAATGGCAATTGGAGTTTCTAAATAACCTCCCATTTATTTAAATATGCATTGAGATTTGGGTTAGTGCACAGGTAACACCTTTTTTTCTTTAATTTATATCTTGAGTGAGTTGAGTGTAAAAATCCAAATGGAGCAACAGGATCATGAAGTGTAGGTATGTGGTGGTGACTGAGTGGTGTACTGGTCTATGCAGCCTATCAACAACACCAAAGTATTATTACAAGAACATGGTGGCTGATTAACAAGTGTGTTCTTTGTGCAGGTGACTGTGATTTAAAGATTGAGTTGCTAGTTCTGATTGGCTAGTAAGTAGCTAAACGAGAGACATGTGTGGGTAGAGGTTTGTTTAGTCTGGCATGTGTTGTGATGAGTATGTCATTGTGTATTATAATACATGTCCATTATATGTGCCCCCTGTGAGGAAGGTATGTGTGTTGTGTGTAATGTCCTGTCTGCATGTGGGCACGTATGTTAGGATGTGTTTTTATTCA